ACCGCTCAGTCAGCCTTGTGAAATCCAGCTGCCTTGACCACCAAGCCAGTGGTTAGCCCAGTAATTGGTTCTTAATTGTGACATAATATTCCTTAAATGAAACTTTTCTGCTTTCATCATCTGTTCAAGAATTGCTCAACAATCCTTGCAACTCTATTTACAGTTTGTGAATATTATAAAAAATGTTAAGGCTCTAAAACCAAGGCAGACAGAAAGTGAGAGATCCACAAGGTCACACAGCTAATCACAGGGGCTGAAACATTCCATCCAGCATTGTATCCACTATTTACTTACATGAAGAACCTGAACAGCAGAAGCTTCAAAAGCATCAGGTGGTGTCTGGAGTGCATTCAATATTCAAGTATTTGAATTAGTGTAGATGATTTAAAATATTAGCTATAGCAGTTTTTTAAACAATATAAAGCTAATTTTTAATCATGCAGATCACATGATTATTTCCAAACTCATTAAGCAGTTACAGCTATAAAATAGTTTGAGAACATACACACAAGCAAAACAACTGCTCTTGGTAATGGCACTGACCAGAAACCCATCCCCAAGAACCACTTGTTCCTTCTCCATTCGTTCCCAGAGGCCCAATAGACTAAACATTATAGCTGACCGTATTTTCTAATTGCAGCTTGCATTTAAGATAACGCTTTTGTTTCATTTACAGCTCACATGCTGCTGACACAGCTGCCCCTTCTTTGCCATAAACACAGGGCTTCTATATTTAAAAGTACAGTGAAACTTTGTTATAACATCCCCTCCCCAGGCTCCGGCCAATTTTGTCTCTTCCAAGCCCAACCACCACCCCAGAATTTTTTTTTTTTTTGAGACCATCAAAACATTAAGGCCTTTGAAAAGTCCGTTTTCTGCTTTAAAGACATGTCTAATATTACAGTTATGTGTCTCTTCTCCACGGCTGTTTGTGGGATTTTTAAAGAGGCGGGGATCGATTCCCTTCCAAGATACCTACTCTGGAGTCTGGGTACTTTCGGAGACTGCGACCGGCGCCCCACTGTCAGGGTGGGTGACCTCGCAGGCCGGCCAGGGGTGACAGGAGGCACACTCGGCCGACCGGGTGACAGGCGGCCGAAAGTCCGGAAAGCGCACGGAGTAGGGGTGCGGGCGGTCTCGGAAACACGCGGCGCACAGATAAGGGCTACTAGCCGGGACGCGAGCGGCGCGCGGGGGGCTCACACGCCCGGTCTCTCGGGACCGGTCGGAAGCGGGTGGCCGAGGAGGGTGTGGGCCCGAGGCGGACTCTGGGAGGAGATAACGCAAGGCCGGAGTTAATCATCACTTCCCGAGCGTCTGGAAAACTACGGCTTCGGGCTGGAGGGGCGGGGAGCGCCCAGGGGAAAGTGAAACTCGCTCCTCCAGCACGCACCGCCCGGCAGTCGTGGCTCCTAGAGCGCAGCCCACCTCACAGTGCCACTAAGTACGCTGATGCCTCTTCTCCACAAACTCGTCCGCACTGCGGAACACGAATGTAACCAGGGCAAATGAAAAATAAAATCAATTTCCTAAGATTTTTTTTTAAAAGGGTACAGCGTTCCCATACCGGGAGTCGAACCCGGGCCGCCTGGGTGAAAACCAGGAATCCTAACCGCTAGACCATATGGGCACTGCCGAGCGCAGCTCTCGC